AAAAAAAAAAGCTGGTATGACATTTATTGAAAGATGAAGTAAATATTACTGTACAATGTACTCAAAGGAAACGATTTCCAGACCTACTTGCTATGGAAACATAACAAATCTAGGCTATCACAATAATCCTAAAGAAATTGAGGAAGAGATGATAAATTACTTTGTACAAGCTTTTTGTTATATTCACATTTCATGCATCAACATCTTGTAGAAACTGTTGATGAATAATTCAAGACTAGTAAATTACTTTACAATATGAAAAAAGATGACTCAATCTGTACATCTCAAACAATTGCTCAACAATTACATACAGTAAATCACATTCTGTACAGTAAAAACGTTGCCTGCACTGAAAAAAAATTTAATTATAAAACTTCATGATTATCTAGCCTTACCATTCATATAAAAGGAAATGTGTACTCCAGGATATTTTTTCATAAGAAGGATATTATGAATAAGACAGTAAAACAACAATCAACAAATTAGAGCTATGTGAAGCAGGTCTCATTAAAAACCTTAAAACAGGAAAGGATGTCAGTTAATATACGGATCTCATGTAACTAAGACCAAATGGAAAAATTAGGAAGAATCTTTTCCTGTCTAATCAAAGAAATAGGAATGAATGAACCCTAGAAAAAAATTCCAGATAGAAAAATCTAAATACAAAGGCAAATCAAAATAGAATACTACATGGATTATGTAAATTTCCAATACCTCAGGCGAGCAGATACCTATACGTAAAATTGGTTCACATTGAGATATCTAATGGACAAGGCAAGTAGACATGAGCCACCTTTCGTATAGATACAAATGGGCCATTCATATATAACACATATATAATTTGGCAAATAACAGTATCGAGTCCATAAACTATTTAACAATTTTGCTCCCTTCATTTTCGATCAGATCACATATTACTTGCTGCAGAATTCTCGGAATTGCAATTTAAAATGACACCACACTAAACAATTGCAAAACAAATAACCCCAGAATTCCAAAAGATATCAAGGCAAGATAGTCGAACATGTGGCATCCATGGGCCACATGACAGCAGTAAATTTTATTTTCACAGTAATCGACAAGTAAGACGTCAATGAAAAAATATTATCACCTTGGTCTAAAATGTTCTTTTCAAACAATACATTGTGAGGGAAAATTTGAACACTTGAGCATTAGACGGAGTATAAAAATTCTTTCAGTGTGAACAACTAAGATCACATTGAGATCATTTTTAATTTGTAGGGCATAAAAGTCTCCTCCACAGTATAACCAAACTTCTCACCTTCCTGACCATTCCAAGGGAATTGAACCGCATTCTGAAGATGCCTAACCACTCGTTTGGGTCCTTCTTCTTCGGTGCTTGAACTTTGGGCTGCATCCTGCCACTCAAGGAATTCTCCTACACCAATCCCCAGCCCCAGCTCAAGATTTTCCCCTGCAAAACAGAAAAAGTCAGCATAAAAAATCGGATTACCAAAACTTTCTTTAAATAAGAAATAAATTACTATGTTCGCCCATCCTTGATTCAAAGCAATCTTTGAGCAATAACGGCATATTCACAAAAAGGGGTGTCTCCCCATACTTAATAATGCTTACAAAATTAATTACAATTTAATTTGTTGACACGGCTGGATGTACCTGGGACTGGGGAGCGGTTTTGTCAGTCGTCATCTTTAGGTCTAATGTAAACATCACCAAATTTTGCCATGTATTTTTTAATAAAGTCCCGGGCCTTATGTTTCACATTATCATTGCACTCCAAGTCATCAACAGCTTTACAATGCTTTAATTCTTTGAGCATTACAAAGTGTGTGAGCTGCAAAAACATAAAACTATGTTTAATACCATCAGGACTACAAATAATAATCTCAACATTTAGGTTACAAACATACCTTTCGAGCCAAATGTTTGAAGTCTTCTGTGTTAGTGATACGGCCCATTCTGCAGTCTGGTTTCCGATATGGATTGAGGTGTGTTACTATAACACCAGCCATATTTAATCTAAACTGATCTTTAATCTTCCTTGCTGCATCACTTGACGTATCGGCAGCAACAGTGACAGGCTTTTCAAGGGAATATACAGTCTTTGATTTCTCACTATCTCTGTGTCGCTTTTTGCTACTTTTCCCATCACGTTCCCTTTGCTTCTTCTTCTCTTTCTGACGACGGATCTTTTCCTTTATTTGCTTGTATATTTTCGGATCTGTTCTCTCCTCCTCTCTTCTGGGCTGTAATACAAAAAAGAAAAAAAAATCAAGTAAAACAGGATTCATTCAACCATTAGCTTGACGCTCAAGCTTTCACATCATAACGCTACGTATCTACTCATCGCAGGACAGGATTTCAAGCGAAGGCGATACAACTCACACTAATGATGTGCTCCTGGACAAGCCCGACGCGACGCTTCTTGCGGACCTCCGCGCCCGTCGGCCTCGGACTGAAGTTGGGATAGTCTGGGTCAGCCAGCATGAGCTGCTGGTGGTGGGCGGCCATGCCAAGTCCTTGTTCCACCGTCAAAGGCATGTCGGCGTCGTCTTCCTCTTCCTCCTCATCTTCCTCCTGCTGTGATGGCGAAAAATTCTAGTTACCTTTTAGCATTTCTATTACTGTTCCTCTAGATGGGAAAAGTAACTATTCTTACCTTCTCTTCCACGTCAGTAGAATCGGATTCTTCCTCTTCATTTTCGTTGTCATCCTCGTTTTCATCCTCACTCGATGATGAAGAGGACTCACTCTCCACAGATTCCAGCACAGAAACAGGAACTTGTGGTGGCTCCCATTGAGATACACGGGTTTTCACATGATAGTAATATGTGCGGCCCTCAGCATCCTTTGCAGATTTCCATTTGGGTGGTAATTTAACTGGAACTGGCGGCGGCAGATATTGAACAGCTGGTTGTTGAATTTCTGTGGGTGCTCCAGAGAGCTGGAATGTCTGTGGCACAGTGTCCTGGAAAAGTTCAAAGATAAATGTAACTAATCGAGCCAGAACAATACATACATTCTAGTTTTACATATTAATAGCATTTTTGAGAATCCTTTACCTGGGCATAGGACTCCTCAGAAACAGGTGCAGGATAAGTTGACGGCTGAGGTTCTAATGTTCCAGCCTGTGTCACAAGACTTGAATCAGCAGCTGTCGGGTTAGAGCCATGTGTTAGTCCTGGTATCACTACAGGAGAAACGCCATTAGGTACTGGTGAAACTCCTGGAGGTATGTGGCTACTCTCATAGGGGGAGGGCTGTGGGGTTGCTCCTTGAAACATTCCAGAAAATGGGGTCCCTTGAATTTGGGTAGGAATGGCATTTCCAGGATTGGCAGCAAACAGAAGAGATGCATGACTAGCATCCGTAGGGTAAGTATGTTGAGGTAGGTTGGGATCTGGAAAAATGTGAAAAGAATGAATATTTGTTTATGGATCAAAATACTATTAACAGAACACAATGTGAATTGTGAAAATTACCTTGAGGAGTTGTATAAGCCAGTAATTGGTTGGTAACAGGATCATAATACTGAGAATTAAAAATGGCGGCTGTGACATGTGGGTTCAAATTTAATTGACGACATCTTTCCTCATGGTAGCGCCACCAATCCTCTTGTGCTTGCCTCTGTGCCTCTACAGCTTTTTCAGCCTGCAGGCGTCGGGCTTCCCGTTGTTCTTCTTCTTGCTGAACTTTAAGAGCAAAGGCTCTTCTACGAGCTTCTTTACTGAGCTTGACATCAAGATGCCTTTCCTCTGCTCGAGGCACTTCCTCTAGCACACGATGACGCTCTTCATGCCTTCTGTCCTCATACTTCCTGTCCTCATGCTTTCTGTCTTCAAATTTCCTATCCTCATACCTTGACCTGTCATACCTGGACCGCTCATCATGGCGCCTGTCATCATACTTGGAACGCTCCTCAAGTCTTGGACGTCGCCCTCTGTCATTGTCAGGTGACTCTCGCGATCTCTTCCTCCGTTCATCCCTATGCCTATCATATCGATCATATGATGATCTGTCCCCTTCTCGATATCTCTCATCTAATTCTTTGTAATGTTGGTCTGCTTCTCTCTCATGTTCTTTCATCTGCTCAATGCGTTCTTTTTTAGGGATCCGGAACACTTCTTTCAATGAATACCAGTTTTGCATTATGAGGGAGGCAAGCTCTGCACAGGCCTTTGTATCACTGTCTGTTGAATCCCCTTTCACATCTCCATCTATATCCATGGATGCAGAGGGGTTCTTGCTGTCAAGTTTGTTGGAAAGTGTGTCTGGCTGAAGCACAGCCTTTTCCTCAGTGTTGGGAGACTTCGGCTTCCTGTCTTCTGATTCTAACTTGTCTGATAGATCATTGCTAGACTCTTCCTCAAATGTTCTGGAGAGAGGAGAGAAAAATGTAAACATTAATACAATGCAACACATTTGCCTCAACAAAACTCAAGAAACTCAAACAGAAAATTACTGTACCTTTCACTGTTTGAAGGACTAGGCTCTGTGCTTGACTTCAATTGAGACCAACGCTCCACTACTCCCCAAACCTTGCTATCTATGAGCATTGTTTTATTTGGAATTGGTAGCTTTTTCAAAGTTCGTAGAATCTGTAAGGAGAAATTGATAGGTTGATGATAAGGTAGAAAAGAATGTATGGGACAGAACATACTTAACACAATCTAAAATTGTACCTCAGTTTTGGCCTCTACATTGTCAGTTGTTCTGTTGTCAATCATCCAGCTCCAGATGAGACGAAGGCCATGATAATCCAAGAATAGTCGACAACATGCTGGTTCACCATCTCTGAGAAGTTTTAAAAGTTTTGCTCTAGAGTGTATATCTTCAGCACGAACCATAAGCCTGCATAATGTTAATGTGTGAGCACGGCTTTTAAGTCCAGAAGAACATAATTTCTCAATTTCCTCTTCCAGCTGAAAGGTAAGCACAGAGTCCATCACAACCACTGTTCCAAACGTTATAAAAAGGGTAGAAAAAAATAAGACACTTGAATTTAGTACTGTACTTACATCAATATCTTCTCTTCTTTTATCCTTGTCTTTATCTTTATCACGTTTCTTTTTGGTAGAGGAATCCTTGCCCTTCCACTCTTGCCATTGGTTTTGGCTTTTTTCTGAGTCTGGATCACCTCCAATCCAGCCTCGACAAACACTAGACTCACAGTAACATCTTTGAGCATCTTTCCTGATAAATTAAAAGGTATGGATTAAAAAATATTTAATGCAGGATGAAAGCAATGAGACAGCCAAGGGAATAAAACTAACCCATATCTTTGAAACTGATAGTCAAAAGTTATTTCCTCCCCAGCAGAGATAGGTTTAGTAGTAAAAAATCCAATGCGAAGTTCTCCATTGACAGTCCACTGCAAATAAAACATAAAAACATGGTTTCAATTAGGAGAAATGCGACACAAAACTACACATGCCACTTTATTAACATTACCTTTTGTGTTTCTGCATTAGGTTCGCAGCTATGGTTAATGAATCTTGAATGATTGCCTTTCATGGTTGCATCAATTATAGCATCAGATTTTAGAGCCATAAAGTAGTAGTGCTTGTTCTGATCTTTGGAATATTCTTTGGCACGTTTTCGGAATTCTTTAGGGTCTAGTACTTCCCCAACATACTCCATTATGAAAGTACCTCTGAAAAACAATAAAATGTATGATAATATTGGCTAGCATTAAATCATGTTTTATTTTTTTTCTATTTTTTTTTTTTTTAAATAAAAATAGTCTTACCCGGACAGATCTTCTGTTGTCCTCAAACCCAACCCTTTCTTTTCAGTCTTGAAAATTTCACATTTAGCATATTCAGCAGACTGAAACCTCTTGTTGGAACACATGTTTTTTACAGGACATCGAGATCCGCTACAAGTAAGGTAATCAGTAATACATTGCATAAATAACAAGGCTGTCAATGACTTGAAATATTACAGCACAATCGGACACAAGAACAAAAATAATCATTTCAAAGAAACCAGAAAAAATTGAACGTACCATTCAATCATTAAGAGTCTATTGAGACAGTCCTCTCCACATCCCATTTCGCCTCTTCCTATTTCATCTTTGCTCAGTGAGCAGTCACAAGCCATGCGCTTTGCATCTTTGCTCTTTATTCTGTCAAAGAAACATTTGGTCAGAGATATGGAACAATTTAAAAAGTTATAAACAAAACAAATAAAGGAAAATTTCAAACCTTTCAGTCAGGTACAGATTTTCAGTCAGAATTTGAAAGTCCTTGAGATGATCAGAGATTTCTTGTTCCTCTTTTTCTTTTTTAATTTGAAGTTCTTTCTCAGAAAGCACAACACTGTGGGAGGTTGGTGCTGGTAAGGGAGGGGGCTCAGGTGGTTGTGAAGGAGAAGGTACAGTGGTTCCAACATCACTTTCCGATGAGCCAATGTTGCCCATTTCAAGCTCGCTTGACCGTCGCCACCTGGACTTCACTTTGACAGGCATTGATACATCTGAAGGAGATGTTGTATTGGTAGGAGTTCGAACACTAGACAGGCTGGTTGAAGAGGATGGGTTTTCTTTTGGTGAATCAAGAGACTCTAAGGATGCCTTGGACACAGTTTGCTTTTTATGGATGGCAGCAGGAGCACGGATCCGTGTACTCCTACGTACTGTTGGACTCCTTGACCCACTGTCTGACCCTGTTGTATCACTACTTCCACTTCTATTGCGAATAGAATTGCTCTTCTTCATTTCAAGATCTTCTTCATTAGATTTAGGTTTTCTAACAATTGGGTCAATTCCAAAAGCAGCAGGACCATCTTTGAAAGGGGACTTGTTAAGATTATGTTGTTTCACACTAAGTGAGTTTAAGTTTACGTTAAAAAGGCTACCACCAATACTTGAAATAGGAAGTTCATTGGTACACACATCATCTCTCTTACTTGATCCAGGTCGTTCTTTTGAAGGTGGTGATTTCAATGGTGAATCATCTAAGCATATTACATTTCTTCTAGGAGGTGTAGTAAGCTCACAATTAGATTTGATCACAGAGGTTTCAGGTATTTTAAGAGATGACTTATTTTTCTTTGAATTGCCATAAACATGAATTGGACTGCCTTTGAGCCTTGAGTTGACTTCCATTTCCCTATCCCCATCATCACTACTTCTACGAGTGATGACACTTTCTCTTCGTTGAAGAAGGTGAATCTTATCAGGGTCATCCGAATCTTTTTCACAAGTGAGTTCTTCTACAGCAACATTAACAATACCACAACTCGACCCTAGGACCATTTGATTTATTTCATCTGGAGACAGCTTACTTTTCATAGCTAACTGCTCATCATCAGCTTCTCTGTCAGACATGTCACTATCCAGTGCAGATGGGTGCCTGCTAACAAGAGATGATGAAACATCTGATTCATGTCCATCAGTTTTTTCCAAAATCCCAGAAGATGTAACACTATTGCCAGCTGATTCTTCAGAATTTTCAGTACAATCTTCGAGTGTATTCTCATCCCTCTCAGACAAAGTCACCTCTTCCTGAACTGCTTCATCTGATTCTTGAAGTAAGCCATCATGCTCTATTTCTTCAACAGTCTCTACTTCCCAGATAGTTGCTCCATCTTCCTCCGAATACATAAGATCATCACCAACAACTTGAACTATAACGGTATTTTGATGATCAATTTCATCAACCATGCCTTCCTCAACCTCGACGACTATGGTCTCTGTATCATTGTCCTCCATTCCTTCATCATCCTCAACACTACCACCACTAACTTCACCTTGTTCTTGAGCTAAGACCACCTCCAACAGCTCAGCACTGTCACTTCCATCCTCTTCCTCCTCCACCATATTCGTGTCCATAAGGTCTTGGCTTGAGCCCTCAGAATCTCCATTTGGATCACTGTGTTCGGCATCAGGAGGCAAACAACTGATTTTCCCAAATTTTTTATGGACAACAGTTGTTGATGGAGACATGGCAGCTTCTTTAGCAAGTTGATAGGAATAGCCAGACTTTACACCATCCTCATCATCACTATCCACTGCACCATTCTGAGATTCCTCAGGAAGCCCATTGGATTGGAGGCCTTTCGTAGGACTCTCTCTTTCACCTTCTTCTACTTCGGGCACAGAATTAAGCTTGCTGCTTCCTTTCTTTTTCCGTGCCATGCTCCTTGCTGTGTCTTCAGTACAGAAGCACTTCCTAGAACTGCAAGGGAAAAAAAAAAGGAAGATAAAAAACTGAAAGTCAGAAATACAACCAGCTTATCGAAAAATATGACTTTTCATAGAAAAATGTTGATAGAACCTCCCAAGCTTATTTGGATAAAGTTGACCCATTTCTAACCAAAATAGGAAAGGTGAAAATTCAGGGGGAAAGACCTCACCATTTACCCTAACTACCACAAACAAAAATTAACTGCACTGCTGCTAAAACCATGACTTGTCAGATGCAAAATAATACATGTGCGAATTGTCTGGTAAGAAGATATGTGGATTTAACACAAATAAATATATATGCATAAGTTAATTAATTTCTAAATTGCTCACAAAATCATTATAAAAATTGGAAAACAAAATTTACAGTTGAAATTTAACAAGAAAATTTATTAAAACGTAATGAATCACTTTGATTAAAAGGAACATAACCTCATCAAAATGGGTGCTTTATCCATTAGGGGTCGTTTGATGATCAGTGCAAAAACAAAACTTGTGCCTATTGATGAAAACAAACTATTCCAAAGACATTAAGAGTTATAATGTTGACAAAGGAAAACAAAACTGTCATTAATAATGTAAAACTAGAAAAATAAAACCCCTAAGAGATAGGAATAGGGCAAGAAAAAAAACTCAATTGGAGCCTAGAATGAATGCAGAATTTGTCCACTTAGTTAAGTTATAATGGTGTCCAAGTTCTATTGAAATTACACAAATGTGAATTATTGACTGCAGGTAGAAATTAATACAAAATGGTAAGTAAGGAGTTGTGGTTGTGGAGTTCTCATCCATCCCAACCTAGAAGGGCTGAGAATAAATGTAGTGGAAAACAGCTCTGAGGCAGCTTATTAAAATTCAACACGTTACAACTAAGAGTTTGAAACTTGGCCCAGTAAAATAATTTATAAATGACCACAAATAGGGTAAAAGACATCAAAACACTTCAAAAACTGGAAGCGGCGCGACACCCAAATATTTAAAGCATACGAATCAATACTGTTTTAGGTACAAAGGGCTGATTCGAGCGTATCCAACTAGGAAAAAATTAACTTTAACGAATGTGGCATAAGTACGAGCCATGACTAAGAAACCGAGATAAAAGTAATAACCTGATTTGGGTGTGCAGCTTGCGGGATAACCACAACCACACCTGCCATGGAATTGCTTTGAAATATACACAGTGCACCCAAATAACCCGCTTATAAGCTTCGAACCATTGTATATATATGTGAGATATAACCTGCCAAATAATTGTGACGCCCAGAGAATTCAGCCTGTCGTTATTATTATTTTTAGTATGGCGAGCGAGGTTTGAAGAGCGGGTCGGAGCTAGATTTACCTTTACAGTGAAACATGAGATCTAGTTTCGGGGCGAATGCGGCACACGGTTAGTTCAACAAGACAACATTTGTAGAGAATCTTCAATAGCTGCATCAATCTTTCGTCCAATATCTTGGTCGAATGCTCAAAATAGTCGGACGCTACAGTAACGCCATTTTTCATGCGACGGCACGGGGTCGGACTACAACCTACAACCTCCCGCACCGCACCGTCCACATCCCAAATATCCCGATTGATAAAGTTTTTGTTGTAACGGCTGAAGCACTGCAGAAACAGCCTCCTTTACGACATCAATTCAATTCGTTTCTCAAAGTTTCTGGGAGTAAACGCACCAGTACAGCGGGTCATAACACCCAAACAAGATTTCCGACGGGAGGGGAGCAAGAAGACACAACAACCTAAGCCCAGCAGTAGAAAAAGAACAACAATAAAAACAAGGTACGGCAGACGACATCGACACTCTTCAAAATACGGCAGATGGGCTTAACCTCAGATTTTTCTGTAGTTTGTAAACCTAATTCTCAACACCCTCTGCTGACACTTGGCTTTAAAGTCCTCAACATGGTCGTTGTGATAAAATGCAAGAAATGCAGACACGAATTAGTAAGGGAGGCTGACTGTCAGCGTGCAGTCGTGACCGCACATGGAGAGAAACATTATCTGACAGAAACTGAGTGTTGTTCTAATTCGGAACAGGACTCCCTTTGGTATTTAGACGAGTCAGCTACTGCTTGGATTTCTGATTTAATAACCAAGGTAAACCTTTGAAAGACAGGAAAAACCATGTGTAGGTTCGGGGGTATTTTGTTGTGTTCCTGGGCAATACGTACAATCCGCTTAACCATGTAATTTTTATATCTATGTGCAGCACGAGTGGACAAAAGGAAAATTAAACTGCCCCAACTGTGAAGCAAGAGTTGGCTCTTTTGACTTTGTCTCAACATCAGCATGTGAATGTGGCTCTAGGACGCTGCCAGCTGTCCACCTTGTGAAAAGTAAAGTTGATGCATACTCTCAGAAAACTAAAGTATTAGCTTCTTTAAAATAATTAAGATGACAGCCATGAGGATAAGTTGACGCAAATCAATTATTTTTGTAAGATTATAATTAATAAATATAAGTATATCCTACATATGGTAAATAATCAAATGTTATATAATATGCAATCAATTGGACAAGTTATCTCAATGCTCTCGTAAGTAAGCATTCATGAATGTCTACTCCTTAATTGTCAATCAACAGATGACAAAATAAACAAATTTGGTAGGGGAGAAGCACCTCCCTTGCCCAAACAACACTCTCCTCAGTGCTCCCATCAAAAATCCACTGGAACACTGCGAAAATTAATCAAAATGTACCTTCCTATTAGAACATGATTCAGAAAACCTCTGTGTAGCCTACAACTGTTTTAATTGTGGTCTGACATAAAAGACAGCAACATAAATAATTGAAAACTGAAAAGAATCTTTAATGAAATACAGCTCACTCACGCCTCCTTATCAAAAACAGTTTATGGAAGAGTTCAGTCTTTATGAAAGCGGACAACAAATCAAGCTCCATGTCTGATAGAAACTAAATGACAGTTCAGTCAGAAATTTTCACTTCTTTCTGTGTTTGAACTGCACAGCTGCAGTCAGCAAACTTTAGCGTCTTGAAGCTTCCTCCACAACAGCTGTAAGGAAGAAGCAAGTTTTGTATAAATCAGAAAAAGAAGTTGAACATTGCTTTGAAATATCTTGAAAACAATCACAAACTCACCTTTACCATCACATGCTACTACTTTTACTTTAGAAACTTTTGCTATTTCTTGAACTTCCCGAAACTCTACATCATTCAGCATGAACGTCCATACATTGTCACAAAACCGGTAGGTATGTAACTTTCCTGCCTGGAAAATTTAGATAAGTATAATTAGTTCTAAATTTCAGTAATGCTTGTTCACTACGAAAGCAATGCCTGATAAGATAGAGTATTCATGAACATGGTGAATTCATACCTTGAAAGACAGACGAGACCTGACACGTGCTGCAAGAGCACTGTTTACTGCTTTATCAAACTGTAGAAGTACCTTCATTGCCAATTGAGGTGTAATTTGACCATACTGCATTCAACAAAGAGACAGTGTAAGGAAATAATATCGAGACAGACATGACTGAAAGTAGATGAAAATTTTATTACCTGTATAAGTTCATCTAAGCTTTCTTGTAGGGTGCTCCCTAAAGTAGTATTCCTATAGAGCTGGTAAGTCATAGTGCCTGCAAAGATATTTCGAAAAAAGATAACGTATGTGGCATAGCCAAAGCACCAATAAGTTCACATAACCTTTGAAACCAAAAACCCCAAATCACAATAGATTGAACTTCATTCGTTCCTTGAAAATTGAACGCAATGAAATTATGTCAAAATCAAGCACATTGGATATTTGCTAACCTTTCTATGTACTTTTCTTAACTCTAAACAAATATACAAAATTACTCAGACCACCCGTCACTTGTTTGACAGGAGTCCAGCCAATCAGATAACTTTAAAACGACTATTGGCACTTTGACAACGTTCTGTGCAAATAACGGTGGTGGTTGTCATTGTTTGTCGGTCGGATCGGATGAAAACATTACGTTACTGTGCCGGCGCAATATTAATTGTGGGAACTATTCGACTCAAACACGTCTGTGCGCAATCGGCCTTTTCGTCCAATGAAGTACCATTTTACGTATAATTGGAGGAATTTTCTGAATAATGGTAAATGTTGTGAAAGGTGTTCTGGTGGAATGGTAAGACATACACATGTATCAAAGTAACCTTACTTCTTGCATACTCTTGCAGATCTCCTTCCCCATGTATCTAATTTATCTCTTAGCATTTGCTATTGTCTTTCCCCACTTGAGTCTTTGTCCTGCTGTCTATTTTACTAAGGCCCCTGTGTTGTCTTTCTTTGACTTGCAGTGATCAGGCTATGAAACAGTTTCTCTTGCATCTTGATGAGACTATGGCCCTTGGGTGCCGTTTCATCATTCAAAATTTGGATGAGACACATCTTTTTATCTCAGCTGACATCTTAACAACCCTTCAATCAAGGATTGATGATCTCATGGATCAAGTGAGCTTCCCACTTGTTGAGAAGGATTCATAAACATTTAAGATATTGGTGCCATACTACATTCGAAATGTCGAAGCCTGGACCAAAACCCCGTCGGGATGTGAATTCCAGGAGGGTATTGGATGAAGCAGCTCGACGGCGAAGAGCTCGGAGAGCACTAGAAGCTCTGGAGCAGGACAACTTCCATGATGATCCCCATGGAGATCTAGGTAAATTACAGCAAGTTAAACTTTTCATGTCACTGGCTCTCCAATAAAACTCATTTAATTGTTTTCAGTTATGAGCAAGAAAGCTCCCAAGTTCAGTGACAAGCTAGAAGTCCGTGGTGGTGGGCGAAAAAAGAAGCAAAAGCATTCAGCGGAGTATTACAAACTGAAGTCAGTACCTAGCATTTTGATTGTTTCAGGAGTCATGCAAACTGAAGTTGATATACTTTGGACTTGATCTGTTTTAGGTACCGAAAAACTTTTAATCAACTAGTTGAAGAGGCTCAATTGAGTCATCCAGATCCTCCAAACTACTTAAGTGCACAAGCGGAACCATCAAATTTGCCAGAACGCCATTTCTGTGCTGTATGCGGGTTTCCCAGTAACTACACTTGTATTCAATGTGGCACACGTTATTGTTGTGTCAGATGTCTTGGAACCCATCAGGATACTCGTTGCTTGAAATGGACAGCATAAATCAATATAATAAAGTTTTAATGATAATGTAATTTGTAAATAAATAATGAGTGAGATAAACCTAGATACAAAGTAATTTTTGTTTATGTATTCAAACCCTTAAAATCAAATTTGCAGAATTGCCTGCAGCATCATCTAAATCACAGATCCTGAGTTCCATCCTTAGCTTAAATAATCAAGGTCAGCAGGAATGTTAAATGACTTTTCTATTTGGCTTTCTTCTACGTTACACCTATCCTTGCACCAGGTCTTTATGGTAAAAATATTGTCAGTCCATTGGTTGGCCGCTTCTTTTGCAACCTGTAAATAGTGTAACATACTTTCATTTGTAGTGTTCTAAGTGCCACACCACAGCAGCATTGCTACCGTAATGGTCCGAATATAAGCCCCCGATTTTTACCTAAAACAACTCTCTAGAAACAAGAGGGGGGCTTATATTCAGACCATTACGGTATCTGTTTGAACAAAATGATAGAGAAAAAGCATACCTTAATTTCTTGCTTCTTTCTTTCTAACGTCTCAGGGTCTGACTCTTTATACTTTTGCAATTCAAGAGTAAGCTTTTCCTCATCTGCCAACAAGTTCTGACGATTTTGTAAGAGCTTCATTCGTTTATCAGTGTCCTCCCTTCCAACCTAAATTTTACAAACACATGTTACTCAGCTCTTATTTGGAACTTATCAAAAGCATGGCATGGTAATTACTTCACCTTCGCACTGATGATCTTTTCCCGTGCTGTTTTGAGTTTTGCATTTTCCTCAGCGAGGCGGCTTTTCAAGTCATCTAGAGTTTTCTTTTTGGCATTCCTCTCCTTGCTATAATTGGGAAGTTATTAATAAAACTAAATTAAAAGAGGGAGACTTAACTTTGTCTAAAAAAATAATTAAATTATGAGTGCTTCAGTGTTACCTTGGAAAAGCCCAAAAGAATACTGATGTACCAATCTTGTCACTGTCAACTAAATTATCATGAACAAGACTCATTAACACATCTTTGACGGATTGAACGACTATACCCTTCTCTTTAGGGGCAATTTTTTCTAATTCCTAAAATAAATCAATAAATGCATACATGGATCAAGATGAATGCGTTATTTCTTTAACACAAAAATATTAATGTTCACGTGGTACCTTGAGTGTGAAAAACTCCTTCTTTTCGTAGAAAATTTCTAACAATTTACTGCGTTTTTCCTCAACGCTCAGTCCTTTTTTCTTAGACATGATAAGAGGCCACTTGTTGAAGTTAAATTAAAGGTTATAATTTTGTCGCCAAGTAGCGGGTCAGTCTGTGACAGGCGATATACACTGAATGATTTACAGAAAACAGTATCATAGGGCGAGCTGAAATTAGTCACTTTAAAGTTATGTCAATAATCAATCTCACCTCACTGTCTTTCGCCCTCTATCTTTTTCTAAGGAAGAAACTTCAACAACAGTTTCTTTCCGAAGAAAAATTGCCGCCTAAATGCCATGTGCATTGGTGCAAACATTAAAAACTTAACAAAAAAACGGAAGTCGGTGAGGGTGGGATGGGCGGGATATTCAAAAAAAATATTTTTGTATGTATCTTTTGAACAATTTTACGGTTTTCGTCATCACATAAGAATTGAGCCTTCTTTCGTTTTATTAATACCTAATAAATAAATTACAATCCAAACATGGAAATAAATTAAGTAAATCATAAAGACTAGGACTTCTTCACATTCGACGACCCCTGGGAGCGTCTGCCGTCGTCGTCACACCGGTCTCGCCTCTGTTCTCGTGGGCCGGTGCAAGCTCAGCGCGGTCGCGCCGTGGGGGGCTGCAACATCACGATACGTGTCTAGAAAGAGATGGAGTCCGTCGCTCAAGTCCTCATTTGATAAACTGCAGACTGCATGCTCGTAGGCATGTGGTGCAGCTGGTGCAGCTGGCTGCGGCACGGGTAGGGCGTGGCCGGGCGTGGCGGAACACACACCAGCCCGCGCACGGCCGCCGCCGCACCTGCAGCTGTTCACCGAGGTGTTCACGCGCACTCACTCACTCACTCACCGCTCAGCCTGCGTCTCAACATATGGTGGCCAGCCTGCTGGGTCGCGTTTCCCGCGAGCAGCGCCTGCTGCTGCAGCTGCTGCAGCTGCTGGAGCTGCGACAGGGCGGCCACGCTGTTGTGGTGGGCCGAGTACAGGCCCTGGGCGTCGTCCTGGCCGGTCGCCCCGAGCCCCGCGGCGCCCAGGGCAGCGCCGGCCGTCGCCGCGTAGGGGACGCTCTGCAGCCCGTAGGAGCCGCCGATGTACGTCACCTGCGGGACGGCCATCTGGGACGCGGCGTCCATGTACTCGGCGCCGGCGTGGTGCAGGTACGGCTGCAACAGCGGGCGGGGGCGGGGCGGGGTCAGAGGGCAGCCAGGGGAGGGGGCAGGGGCCTCGCGGTGCTCGGGGGGAGTCGGCGGCGGCGTCCGGGACTCACCACGTGGGACAGGTCCTGGTGCTGGTACGTGTAGACGGCGGGGATGTCGTGCGGCTGCCCGGACGAGAGGAACTTCTTGAGCGCCACCAGGGCGGCGACGAAGAGCGCCGTCGTGGACAGGAACAGCGCCTTGAGGAGCACGAACTTGGTGACGGCCATGGCGATGACGAGCAGACCCGTGGCCTTGAAGCCGACGAGCAGCGGCAGGATGGTCTGCGCCATCTTCTTGTAGTTACGCGCGACGAGCGCGGGCAGGCCGGCTGTGTCCGCGACCCCGCCGCCCGCGGCCGCGCCCGCGGCCCCGCGGAGCAGGATGCCCGACAGCGCCCCGGTGAGGGCTCCTGCACAGCACAGGCAATGGCGGGGGTTGGGGAAGGGGTGCACACAAGCCGCGGGGAAGTGGAACAAGTCGAGCCAGCAAAACTTATTTTGCACAAATACAGATTTTGAAAAAGAAAGGAATTAAAATGATTTTACAAAGGCACTCGTATATTCACAAACGTAAGTGTACTATGTGCTCGCCGGAAAAAAGGATAAGTCATGATTTCAATTTTGATTTTTCAGTTAAATTTTTGTTTCTTGGAAAATTTTGCCGCAACGCATAAAGTACGGCAATTTTCCCAGAAGGTTATGGGTACCTGCCAGATCCATGGCGGGCGAGGGCTTACTCCCGGTCCCGGCGCGAGCGGTGGCCCGCGCGTCCCGCGCGCCGTCCAGCTGCTGCACCTGCGGGACAAGAAGAGGAGGCACGGGGCCGTCAAGAGGAACTTCCATGTCGTCCAAACTACCGCGCCTCCAGCCCGGTGATGTGCACACGCTGGTGTGCCC